CAATAAATAAATTATAACTATTTTAAAATAAAAAAAACAAACGAATAGCTCATTTCGATCCAATACCATCAAATCTCACAGAACTCATTTTTCTTTTCTCATATATATATATAATGTTAAAATTGTTAAAAAAAATAAAAAACAAACTGCCCAATCTGACGTCATCATTTCAAATGGGCCATGCCGCCTGTGACTGGAGTCAGCGGGGCCCAGCAAGACACGAGAAAAACTTCCTCGTTGTGTCACCTCAATCCTAGGTGGCGGAATCTAATTGGCTAAAACTGTCCATTCTGGGCCCACGCAAACGAATATCCAATTACTACGAAGGAATTGGGGGGGTTGGGGGGTGTGGGCGGCTCTGTTTCGAACTCGCTTGGATTGCGCTCGAAAAGACGTGGAATTCCGCTGCGGCCTCTGAGTGAAAAACGCAAAAAAAAAAAAAAAATTGCATTTTTTCCTGTTCCTGAATCAAGATCAGATCCTCCCAGGTACACATCATCAACTTCTTCACTGTCCTCTTGATTATTTTTTTAAAGGATTAATTAATAATTAGAACCCTTCATTTAATTGTGCTTAATGAACGTTTTTCCCTAATCAAATTGCCCCGCGACAGCCATTTTTAACCCGCAATTTGTTGTAATCTTTGTGTTCTCTTACCTGGGTTAAGCTTTGATGGGAAAGAGCGCAAAAGGGTTCAAGAAATCAGGGTTTTTGTTTGAGAAAGATGCATGCTTTTTTGAGCTTATTTTCATGCTGAGAAATAGGGGAAAGTGAAATTCCGTGAAGACAAACCATTGTTTTATTTGCTATTTTTTTTTTCAAAGTTAGATTTTTTAATTTTTATTTTAGATTGGATATGGGGTGTTCACAAGATATGATTTTGGAGTATTTGTTTCCTTTATTTTTTGTCAGAGGGATGTTAGAAGCCATTTAAATGGAGTATTAGGGTTTCTGTGGCAAGTTCTGGGTACCATTGGATAGTCTTTGTGATGATAATGTCATAAGTCTTGGTTCCTAAAAGCATTCACCTTTGTAATTTCTTAAAACGCTTATGTTCATATTAAGTGATTTTAATTGGTTTGGTTTCCTTATAATTTGTGGGACTGATTTGTCCTACGCTGTAGGTGTTTAAAAATACAATAATTTTAGCTTCTGAAGTTGATGAAAGATATTTTGAATGGTTAAGCAAATAGCAAAGAGTGCTTGCTTTCTATATTGTTATGTGATTTGGAATGTGCTATTTCAATGAATAGGTCTTGGGGTGAGAATTTTGTGAATGGGGATTCAGATGATGGGATCCCAAAGTAATGGCCAGCAGTCTCATGTACAGCCATCTCCACTGATGAGGCAGAACTCATGGTATGGTCTAACTCTTAATGAAGTTGAAAACCAGTTAGCAACCCTTGGGAAACCCCTTGGTAGCATGAACCTTGATGAACTTCTTAATAATGTGTGGAGCTCCGAGTCAAATATATCATCAGGAATGGATTCTGAAAGCACTGCATCTGCACCTTCTCTCCAACGTCAGGCCAGCCTTACGTTGGCTAGGGCTCTGAGTGGGAAGACAGTTGACCAAGTTTGGAAGGAGATACTACAAGGGCAGAAGAAGAGGTATGGTGATGAGATGAAGGGACAAGAAAGAGAGATGACCCTAGGTGAAACAACGTTGGAGGACTTCTTAGTTCAAGCAGGGCTTTTTGTTGGGGAAACTCCTTTAACTCCAACCATGGATAGCACTGATATCATGAACCCAAAAAGCTTCCCACAGCAAATAGTCTCATCATCTTCTCCATTGATTGGTGCTTTATCAGACACAACAGTTTCTGGTCGCAAAAGGGATGCCCAAGATCCACTCGAGAGGACTATTGAAAGAAGGTTAAGGAGAAAGATCAAGAACAGGGAATCCGCTGCACGTTCCCGAGCCAGAAAACAGGCAAGCCTTTGAGCATGATGTTTTTCCCTAATTCACTATCTGTAGAGTTGCTTTGATTTACCCATGACCTTGACTAAGCATTGTGTCTTTCAACAGGCCTACCATAATGAGTTGGTGAACAAGGTTTCACACCTAGAAGAGGAAAATATGAAACTCAAGAAAGAGAAGGTTAGTATTTTTTTTGTGCCATCCTTTGGTTTTCTAGAGACATTAATAAGCCAATTATCTAAACTGTTACTATTGAGAGACATTGTTTTATGGATAATAATTTATATAAGTATTAACTATTAAAATATTAAGGCTTTAAGAAGCTAATGAGCACTGAAGTTTCTTCCTTTTATATCACAAAAGTGCATTTTAGAACTTGTGAACTATTCTTCTATTTTACTTGAACAGCTTGTTAGGTAGCAAACCAATTATTATTAAACAGAAAATAGATTAGTTGTTCAATGTTCTTTAGGCTTCTGGTCAATAGCCAGCTGAGATGGGTGATCTTTTTGTACTTTTATATTTAGCATTAGCCAAAGAAACAAATTCTTTGATATCTAAGTTTGTGTCCTTTGAAGAGAATTTCTTTTCTTTTCTTTTCTTTTTTCCATTTTCCTTTAATAATATTTCTGGTTCATTTTCTTATGATCTCCAACTTTTCAGGAATTTGAGAATATGTTCCCATGTGAACCATCTTCTGAACCAAAATACCAGCTGAGAAGGACAAGTTCAGCCTCATTTTGACTTGCGTCCTGAAGTGTTACGAATTTTACAGTGGCATATATGTTATGGCTCCCGTGTACAGCCTTGGTTTCACAATGAAGCAGCTTGAGAAATTTCCCCAGGCTGGATTTTCGCTCCTGTTGCTAATTATGCGAGCTAATCCACTTGTGCACAACCCACCACTGGGGTTTGGCTTTATGTACATCTATGATTAATATCTTAGAACTCATTCAGCAACAAACAAACCTTGTTTATAGGTTCAGGCCCTGTTTGTTTCGCTGAGAGACACTAGAAGAAGCCACTCGTGTTTTAACTTTTTTCTGTAAGGTTAAAATGGAACAAAAAAATATGTAGTTTCTATAGATAGGGAGGAGATGGCATTAATATGTAGTTGAAGATTGATATTATACTATATAACAAAAAAATTTACATTTTTTCTTGAATTTTGTGAACTAACTGTTTTATCATCCAGTTAATTCCAAAAAATGTCTGAAATGATTCCAAAATTTTATATTTTTTTATCTTGCAAGTTGAATTTTCACTCCAGTAATATTTTAAAATAATTGGTCCGAAAATGGATGAAAATTTGGAATCCTGCTTTTTTATTTTTCTCCAAATAGAAGACATGGTTTTTTTTTTTTTTGTGCAAATGGAAAATTTCATAAATAGATCAATTAACTTCTACTTGGGTCAATACACAATATAATTACTCCTCTCATGGGAGACATAAGAAGCACAAAAAAAAAATAAAAAAGAAAAAAAAGAACAGAATTAAAAACAACATTTTATGTACAAAGCAGATGCCTTGATTTGTTTTTCCTTTCTTTTTTTTTCTTTTTTTTTTTGTGTCCCCATGCGCTCTTGTCATCTGCATGTGCGTGCGAGTGTGGGTCTGGCCGCCATAATGCCATTAAGCATAAGCATACAACCTCGAGTCAACAATAAGTAAACAACCTTAGCCAACATCACACGGCTCCTGAACTAGTACTTCTTCCGACTACTTACTTGCCAAAACCATCTACTTCAATCAAATTCATCACAAAAACGTGTCAGGATCCACACTGAATCTTATCTTACCAACTTTAGTGGGTGCTAGACAGAGTCGTTTCGGTTGAAAATCGTCAAAGTTGGAAACTTGTGCAAAAACTGATGATCAGAAGCTGTTCAGCTTTTGACCCCGAGAGAAAGAAGGGATCATCCTTTGTTTGCTTTGTTCTACAAAGAAGTGATTTCAAACATGGAGGAGAACGCCAGCCCGCTATTGGAAAGAGAAAAAGAGTACCATCAGAATTGCCCCGGTTGTAGGATGGATCGTCTCAAAGAGGAACAACAAGGAGTCCCTTACAAGTATCTGTCCTATATCTGGATTGTCTCTCTCTGTACTGGTACTATCTACATATCCTTTATACTTTGAAATTGGGTTGTATTGAATTTTGAAACATGGGAGTTGATTGTATGGTAGTCTAACTTTTAACTAAGTTCTTTACTGGCAGTGGCTTTTTCATTTCTTGGGAATTTTTTGAGAGTAAATTGATTTATGTGCTTAACATATTTCAATTCCTTATGTGTGTGTGCATATATATATATATATATATATATATATATATATTTTTTTTTTTTCAGCCAACAAATTAAATTTTACTGAAGGGAGTACAACCAGTACTCAACCCGTTACAAGAGAATGTATATGTACTTTATGGAGACTGTTTTAGATTCATGTATCTTGTTACTCTAATTCTCTAACATTTTCTATCTTATTTCTTGTCATTTTTCAGCTTTGCTGACAACGTCGCTGTTTCCGTTTCTTTATTTTATGGTATGTGTTATCTATTTCTGAAAGGAAACCTGTTACATACCTATAAACGAAATAGATGCTCAAGAAATCTGTTTTCAGTGTTAGCTTGTGATAATTGCATCTTTACTTATTTGTACCAGATGTATGTTGACAAACATTGTATGTTTCAATTATGTACGAATGTGTTGTTTGCAGATCAGGGACTTGCACATTGCCAAAACAGAGGAAGACATTGGTTTCTATGCAGGATTTATGGGTAATACTTGGAACCAGCTGTTGGTTGATTTTCTGTACTAATATTTGAGCTGAACCACTAACTTTCTTCATTCTTTTTTTGCCCCACCTTGGAAGTTGGATTTTCATTTATGATTGGAAGAGCTTTGACATCTGTGTTGATTTTCTGTACTAATATTTTAGCTGAACCAGTAATTTGCTTCATTTTTTTGCCCCACCTAGGATCTTCATTTATGGTTGGAAGAGCTTTGACATCTGTTTTCTGGGGAGTGGTGGCCGATCGATATGGTCGCAAACCTGTGATATTGATAGGGACATTTTCAGTGTGAGCAATTCTTCATTTATTTCCTTACATTTTATCAGTGGAATGCAAGCCAATTTTCAGTTTTTCTTATTCCTATCAGTACCAGTGACATTGAAACTTATGGTCTTTCAGGGTTGTTTTCAATGCTCTCTTTGGACTTAGTACAAGCTTCTGGATGGCGCTTTGTATGAGATTTCTTCTAGGATTTTTCAATGGTCTGCTTGGCACAATAAGGGTAATTTGCTCTGTATAAGTGCTGATGGACACATTTTTAAGCAATATCTCAAAATCCACTCTTCTCAGATAGCTTTTAGTTCCAGCTTTAAACCAGTTTTTGTCCACCCTGACCTCTATAATTTTTCTGCTTGGCTGCATTCTAGGCATATGCTTCTGAAGTCTGTAGAGAAGAGTATCGGGCATTGGCACTTTCAGTTGTAAGATAATGAATGTAGAGGTTTGTTTTCTGGTTCTAGTGAATCAACTGGAGTACAAAATACAAATCCTTCTTTGGTTTCAGGTTAGTACATCACGAGGCATAGGACTCGTCATTGGTCCTGCTATTGGTGGTTTCTTTGCACAGGTACAGATTACGTTTTCTATATAGGAACTTAGAATAATTTTATTGCAACTCTTTGATATGGTTTCCATTCTCGTAACTTTTTCACTCCCTAACTTCCTCTCTTTTTTTCTCTTTTTTTTTTTTTCTTTTTTTAACGATACATGTATGGAATTAAGCCTGCAAAAAATTATCCCAATGTCTTTTCTGAAGGCTCCATTTTTGGGAGGTATTTTTATATTGCATTATTGATCACCATTTCATATTTTCTTCATATCAGTGCATTTTTCCTTTTCTCCATTCAGATATTTTGACGCACATCTAAATTGCAGGTTCCCCTACTTCTTGCCATGCCTCATAATATCAGTTTATGCTGTAGGAGTTCTGATATCCTGTTGGTGGCTTCCTGTAAGTTTCAAATCTTATGATGTCATCAAGTTATCTTCTTCTTAATCCAATATAATTGTTCTCTTGACTCTCTTTTTTTGGTATCTTGTAAAACATTTATGTTAATGCAGGAGACACTACATATGCATAATAGAAGACATGTTCCAAGTGATAGGTTAGGATTTTCTTCAGATGAACCTGGTGGGAAGGAGAATTTTGTAGAACATGAAGAACAGCATAAACCAAACCTCTTGAGGAATTGGCCTCTAATGTCTACTATCATCGTATACTGTGTTTTCTCACTTCAAGAGATGGCTTATTCTGAAGTAAGTTCTTCTTGCTGCCAGCAGAGAGTCATCTTGTTATTTCATGTAGGGATATCCAATGAAATCTGATCCCTTTGAAGGAGGCCTTGTAAAACTATTTGCAGCAATTTAAGACAAACTGCTTTGGCAGTTAACATTCATATGGGAACAGCTGTGCATGAATAACAAACTAAATTAGCACAAGAATCTTCATTTTCCACATTAGATAGGATATATCATAACTGCAGTTCAGATATTCTCAATATCATTCAGTTGATGATTGAGTGTGCTTTGCAGATATTTTCTCTCTGGGCAGTTAGTGACAAAAAATATGGAGGATTGAGCTTTTCATCTCAAGAGGTTGGTGAAGTTCTTGTAATCTCTGGTACGTGAACCCATTTCTTGTATTGCAAATGAATTCACAATATAATTTTCCTCATATTACGGAAAGCTTAGTCATGCTTCTCTACCATGAATTGACATATCTGAATTTTTCAGGGTTTGGTCTTTTATTGTTTCAACTTATTCTATATCCACCAATAGAAAGGATCCTTGGCCCTCTTATGGTTACACGCCTTTCAGCGGTAAAATTTGACTTACAAATCACGCAACTTCTAGCTCTTTCTCTTTATATGTGAAATAATTTATGTACACTTCTTTCTTCAGGCAATATCAATCCCGTTGCTGTCCAGCTACACCTACATAGCTATGCTTTCAGGACTAATGCTACATTTAGTGATAAATTGTGCAGCCTTATTGAGAAATTCTCTATCCGTAAGTAGCATAGCAGCAAAAACATACAATTTAGAATAGCAGTGTTAAAGGAACAGAATATTACTATTTTCAAGTTTATGATGAGGCTTTTTTTGTATCATGTAGGTGTCTCTCATTACTGGATTATTCATATTGCAGAATAATGCAGTGGTACGTTTTCAGACCATAATTTGACAAGGCTTTTATCATAGTTTTCATTCGTCTTGATTGCATTTTAGCCTCTTTTTGTTTTTTAACCCTGGTTTTGTTATCGCAGCCCCAGGGCCAGAGGGGAGCCGCTAATGGCATTTCCATGACAGCAATGTCTGTTTTCAAAGCATTTGGCCCTGCAGGAGGAGGTTCCCTGTGAGTGTGATCATCATTTATTTGTTTGGTGTATCAACTCATTGCATCATTGTTAATAATGTTCCATCTCTCAAAACTTTTGTAGTTTTTCTTGGGCGCAAAAGCGACAAAACGCTGACTTCTTCCCAGGTATTATGCTCGATCAGTGCTTTAAATTCATCATCATGTCCTTGCTATTGTAGTAACCATATCTTGTTCATTTGAATACAGGCGATCAAATGGTTTTCTTCGTACTGAATGTGATTATGTTTATTGGATTGTTACTTACTTTCAAGCCATTTCTGGCTCAGCCTCGTCAATAAACCTCAGCTACCACCAGAGGCAACCTCCATTTACCTGTAAGAAATACCGAAGCAAACACTTGCTTTCCGAAAAAATATCAAATAACTCATTGAATAATCATATTTCAAGATTTCAACAGAAATGCATGCTTTTATATCACGTTCTCTCACAAGGTGAGAGATTCAAATCACAATGCTCAATATTGCTGAATTTCATCAAATATGCCGAACAAAAAGGATAAATATGTGCATGTCTCCTACAAATCTCTAATCCCACGATGGGGAAGCGAAAGATAAAGGTTATCACATTGCACTCGACAGAATAAAAGAGAGAGCCCATTGCCATATTTGCTGTTTTAACTATTTGTTTCGATTCTTGCTAATCTCTGACAAGGCTTCCACACTAAAACTATATCTGAATACAGCTCCAAAAAGTTAAATTTTGATGTTGAAATAGTCTGGGTCAAAGTGGTGCAATCTCACGTAACCATCTTCACCTCCACTCGAGAAACTATAGTAAGTTATAAAACAGAACAAAGTCAGATTCAAGGGTGCAGACTTTATTAACAATATATTGATCCTAATGATAAGCTAAAATGCCATACCTTTTTCCATCAGGGTTGAAAGCCAATGCATTTATGGGTCCAAAGTGCCCTTTCACACCTCCAATTTCTTCTGTAAGGGTCTATATGAACAAGCCAGATATCATCATGAATGGAAGAACTTGCCTGAAAAAAATATCTATGTGAAAATGCTAATGATTATAAAAATAAAAGTTACCTTGTCATAGAATTTGGCTTCAAACTTCCCTGCACGATGATCAGTGGTTGTGACAGCTGAAGCATCCTGACCACCTCCAAGCACCACCTAGGGTAAGAGAAAAAGAAGTTAGATAGAAACACACCGATGCACAACTCCAAAGACAATAAAAAATTCTGTTACATTGACCATATTTTCATTTATACATACATGGTCAAGAAGTGGAGACATTGCAACAGCATTGACTGGCCGTTCTGTGACATAGGTCTTGATGAGAGTAAGCGTCCTTGTGTCCCATAGCTAAATGTTAGAAGACAAAAACAAAATCAAAAGAATCAAATTAGAGCCCAGGTTCCAATCAATTTCAGGTGAATTATAATTCAAAGTTGAGGGCCTGGCGACATGGTTACTTTTGCTGATTTATCCAGGGAACCAGTTAGGAAGTGTGAACCATCTGCAGCTTTTGCAAGTGATGTTATCGTCTTCTTATGACCAGTTTCCTTGTCTGACTCCTTAAGCAGTTTTCCAGTCTGCAAGTTTGATAGAGAAATTCAACTAAGAAAGTGAACTAGAATGGAATAATAACAATCTGGGCCAAGAATAGCAAGCAAATAATGTCATGAAATGACCATTTACCTCAGAATCCCATATACGAACTACAGCATCTTCTCCAGCACTTACGATAGTCCTGTTCAAGGGGCCCCAAACAGCTCGGTTTATTCTCCCTTGAGGGCCCTTAAGTATCAACACAGATTCCCCAGTCTCTATGATTATGACATAAATGCATCAGAGTCAAGGTACAGAATACCCACAGATAATTTGCTTGCAGCATCAACTTATGGGGAAAAAAAAATTCAAGAAACAATAATGATGAACAGTATGGCTACTGAATTTAACCCAATCTGTTTCACAAAATTTACAATAATGCAACCACAAGCACACTTCATCAATCACCATTAACTGCGGACAAATTAGACCAGCAGCCACTCTGCTTCACTAATATTAAATTCAACTAACAGCAAACAATAATTTCCCAGCTATTATAACTAACCCAACAAAACCTAGGTCTTTGAGTAAGAGAAGAGTAACTCAAGAGAGTCTATTGTTCTTTATCACACAGAGAGCAAATTAACAACACAAACTGGCCGACACACAAGTATAAATCCCTTTTCAAAAACACACACTAAAGTATTCCCTGAGGATAAAATAATCTAGAAATGCTGCCCATGACTAGAAAAAGAAGAGGATTCGAGTGAACAAAGTTGACAGTTCCAATAGCTACAAAATTCTTTTCAATCTTCTTCTTCTTCTTCCTTTTAATTTTTTAAAGATTTTTTCCCATGATCAATGCTTTTCTGACTGAGACATAAAAAGGTTACCAAAGAGGAGAAAAAAGTGAAACTTAAAATTCAATATTTCCAGAACCATAGCTATATGCTTGAGTACAATTGATACCAGAGGAGTTGATAAAAAAAAAAAAAAAGTTAGAAACTTAAGCCTTACGATTAGATGGATCACTGGCAATGCGTTTGACATGAATTGCAGAAGTGACATCCATGAAGGGATCACTAGTAATCACCACAAGCTTATCTCCAACTGCTAAGTCCACAGACCTAGCAGGAGAATCAAAATTGAATGTATACAGTTGTGTTCCTGTTTGAACGTTCCACAGCTTCGCTGTCTGATCCGCACTCCCCGTAATCAGCATTGTGGAATCTCCTGCAATTTCAAACGCAGATAAATATAAAATACAGAAAAAAAAAAATTTTTTTTCCAATTATCCTGGCAGAGAGATAGCGGGCACTTGCTTGAGACATCGCAGGACCAAACGGCACCGTTGTGGCCACGGTAGGTGCCCAAACGCTCGCCGTTATCGGCAAACCAGACGGTGGGAGTATGATCCTTAGCGCAGGAAAACAAGAGATCTCCATCTCTGTTGTACTTAAGGAAAGTCAAGGGCCTTTCATGCCCTTTCATCAATATCGGCCTCATCTTTCCCTGTAAAATACCTGACTTAGGGTTTCGCAGTTCACAAATAAATCATCCGGCGAAGAACAAAACAAAAATTAACAGAAAAAGAACAACTTTAACACTCAAAACTCTGGATTTTACCGAAATCAGTAAACGATCGAGTCGAACTTGAGATGGCCTCCGGCGGCTGAGGAGGGCTAAGTTGCAAGGAAACGAAGAGGGATAGTACGAGCGGCGGTGTTGCAGGTGAACCAAAGGAAGAAAGAAGCGAAGAGGGAGTTCTAGTCGGTTTGCAGGGTTTTGAGTTGGGCTGAAGTTTTAGGCGCTGGTTAAAATATTTAAGGCCCAAATAAGAGACCATTCGGCCCATTAGTTAATCTGTAAATTATAGCCCTTTGATGACCCAAAACAAAATTTAAGGCCCATTAATTAAGATTTGCCGAAGCTTGGGCTACGAGACAGTAAAAAAAAAAAAACACACACACACACACACATATATATATATATATATGTTACAGTATACTAAAGACGTATGAGTTCACGCAAGCTAAAATATGTTCGGTGCACAGTAGCTCCTCCTCTTTTTAATCTCTATTTATATGGAGTAGTTTGTCTGCAACCGAAGGAAAAAAAAAAAAAAAAACCCTTTTTAATATTCAGAACAACGGTTTTCCGGCGGCACATTAGTAGAGGCAGTCGCCGTTACTATAAACGCCGAGCGAGTAGTGTCCTTTAAGTGACTGTTCCGCTCTCTTCTGTCTCAGTTTGCTTTTCAGGTGACTTTCCTCGTTCACGGTGGATCTCTGACGGACAGATGGGAAATGCCAACGGGAGGGAGGAAGGAGCCAACGGGAGTGAGGATCCGTTGGGAAGATCCAACGGCGAATCTTGTGGAAACTACGGTTCGAATTCGCAAGCCCCAGGGAGAGTGCCTTCTTCGGATTCTATGGCTAATAGCCCTCCCACCAGTCCTCGGCGCTCTCGATCCCCTCTCTTGTTCGCTCCTCAGGTTACCATATCCTTCTTCTTGTTGTTTTTGGATTGTTTTTCTGGATTTTTATGTATTAGTTGCGCAACTCTCGTCTCCATGATTATGAATTGAGACAATTGCTTTTTTGAGTTATCTTCTTGTATTATAGTTAGGCGAAAAAAATCAGGTAACTGATAATTTGATTGAGGAATCATCAGAAGAGTGGACTGATCCATCTAAGATGAATGTAAATTTGTTTTTCTGGATTGCTATTATTATCTCATGAAGCTTGTTTGCTTGTTGCTATAAAATTTGAAACCATTGTGACTGGGAAATGAAAGATAAAAGGAGCAATTGAAAATTTATGCTTGTGATTCTTCATATATCGTGACTTTGATTGTTGCCTTAGATAATTGCAATGATTTCTCTCCTACACATTGTTGGATGGATATCCTGTAAGGAGAACTTCATTCATGCCAATGGATCATCAGCTTTATTTATCTGTATGTAATTTATGATCGCATGCTTTTTGTTTTCTTCAGTTGATGATATGACTAGCTATTAGAGAGTTGTGCACAACTATTGTTGAATGTGGTGAATAATTTGTAAGTCATACTTTATTGATAAGTTATGGTTGTTTTGGGGTTTGAAGAATGATGAGAGATAGGAGATGAACTGGATTAGGTATTATTTCTATCTGGATAATGGCTTTTGAACTGATCAACTGGTCAGTTTTCTGTTCTTCAGGTCCCTGTAGCTCCCTTACACAGAGGTGATGGTGGTTCTCCCTTTTACAACCAGGCATGGCAGCATGAATCTCATGGAGCTGTTGCTACTCCACTAGAACAAGGGATTCCCGTCATCATTACATGGAATTATGGGGGTAATGATGTGGCTGTAGAAGGGTCTTGGGACAATTGGACATCAAGGCGAGCTTGATTGAGTTATTATAAACATTTTCATGCAATTATTGTTTTGCTGAAAGCCCTTTAATGTGGACAGCATTTGATAGAATCTATTTTAATGACTTGCAGGAAGACCCTACAGAGATCTGGGAAAGATCATTCAATTCTTTTGGTACTTCCATCTGGCTTATACCATTACAAGTTCATTGTGGATGGGGAATGGAAATATAATCCGGATCTTCCTTCTGTAGCTGATGAATCTGGCAATGTCTGCAATCTTCTTGATGTTCATGTAAGTATCTATACTGACATACTTGTGTCTTATAAATCTAGATTTGATTCATTACATGGTGGTGGCATGGTGCTTAATTCTTTAAGAGTCAATAGCCTCACAAACTCCTGTAGTATGAAAAGCTGGTAAGGTTGCTTAGGAGAGGTCCCAAAAGTTTAGAGCTTAAGTCTCCATGTTTGGTGCCTCAAGTTCAAACCTTGGATGGTGGGGGATGGTTCTGGCAAAAGGAGGTGATCTCATGTTGTGTAACAAAAAATGAATATCTGTTACACAGAACTGAATTTATACAAATTTAGAATGTATTGTTGAATACAAAATGAGGTTCTGATTAATTTCTATTGCTGCCCTCATTTTCTTATTGCTTCCAGCAATTTCTTGTAGGACTATGTACCAGAGATTCTGGATAGTGTGGCTGAGTTTGAAGTACCATCATCTCCAGAATCCACTTACAGTTGGGCACTTCCAACAGAAGAAGATTATGCCAAGGAGCCACACATGGTTCCACCGCAGCTGCATCTGACAGTCCTTGACATGGATAATCAAGATGAAGCATCCCCTTCAAAGCCTCAGCATATTGTGCTTAACCACCTTTTCATAGAGAAAGGATGGGCAACCCAGTCCGTGGTTTCCTTGGGACTGACCCATCGGTTTCAGTCTAAATATGTCACTGTTGTGCTCTATAAGCCACTCAAAAGGTAACAGGCCTCCATGCTTACTTTGTAAAGGAAGAAAGGGAGTGGTATTCACAATTCAAACTGTTTGTGTAGGTACCACTGTTTATATAAGCGCTTGACACTTAACACGTTCCTTGTTTGTTTTCTTTTACTCCAAAATTTTTGTTAGTTAACCTTCAATTATTTTTGCTTACTGAAACATTTTCCCTTTTTCTAACCTCAATTATATAGAAAGCACATTATCATATAGTTCTGGGCAGTGTTCCCTAGCTCTTCATAAACATAACTTGTGGAACAAGCCTGTTTGAGGAAGGAGAAGTTGGTTGCAGAATTGGGTCTTTCTTCCACTGTTTTAGATCATGAGCATATCATTGATTCAGTCCATCGTGTACTTGGCGCTGGTATTTGCTAACAATAATCAAAACTGAATGTATGTAGCAGCGAGGGGAGTAAGGACAGAAATTTATGGCTTATGATGCCGATTTCAGGCATTGAACATTAATATAATTACAGTATCAAAATTACAAGCATATTGCACGGTTAAATCTTTCTCAATGAATAATATCACCAGAGTGCAATTCTAGTCTCCAAAAGCAATCCATGTCAATTCCACCTGTATTTTCATCACTTCTTGGCCTTAAATATTTTCTCTTTGTAGTATTTGAGTTCCTTGATGCTCTCTCTGATATCATCCATGGCTCTATGTTTATTCTCTTTTGCGGGAGCTCGTTTTTGATCTGTACGGGTGACAACCACAAATAAATGAACTTTTTTTTCTTTTCCTGATAAGGAAGCTTAGGTTCAGTACATCTACACGCTGTGAGCTAACAGTTTGATTCATGAAACAAATATTGTATTGATTTAAGTATGTCTTAAAGATAATCAAATAAAAACTTTGCAGGGAATAATCACCCCCAATTAACAAATTGCATGATAATTGAAAATACCTCCTGGATACCAGCGAATGCATAGTGCCTTCACACTGCTGACATCAACAAGCACATGAGAAAAAAGACTCGCCAATTCGGGCATATACTTCTGTTAAGAAAAATCTCATTAGGATGTTTTTTGACAGTAATAAAATAAGGAAAGATGTGTATGAGAAGCTAAGAATATCAAGCAAGATACCTTTGTTGTTTGTTTTTCATCATGTTGGTGGGAAGAATATTAATAAATAGTAGTAAGGCTTTAATTAATATGATGAAATAACCAAACACTTTCTTGATCAGTTAACAGCTCTGAAATCATGGGTATTGACTCTCATGCAAAACCTAGATTATTGATGACGAAGGTATGAAAGTACGAAGTGTTGTGTAGTTGGTACTTGTTACAATTCTCATCAGTAAAGTCATAAGAGTTGAGTTGTACCATTATTACCTTTAAAAAGATAAAATCATTGTAAACAGAATTTCCAGCCAAAAGAGGTGTATATGTACCAACATGTTTCTTAACAAAGTCTATAACCTGCACCATGAAGAAAACATAACTACATAAATTTAAGGAAATAAAAATGGGAAATGAACATTTAAGTACAATGGTTAGATCTAAAATCGCATTCACAAGAATTTAAAAGGTCATTATGGACCTGCTTTTCAGCTTCTCTTTCACCAATTGTACTATGTAACACTTTCTCCGTCAACCCTGAAGTAAACCTTTAAATTGTTAGTCATGGTTCCTTTCCTGCTAAGCCATAATAAAGAACTGATGTGGAGAAAACAATTGAAATGTCAATGTCAAACTACCACTTCTTGTAAGCAACTTACCACTGGCTGCATGGTGATTTTGACACCATTCTCCCATTCTATCCAAACACTCCTTTGACTGATGGATAACCAAATCAGGACCCTGAAAGAGAAGAGACCAACACCAGTAACATGGGAATATTGCATTTCCAATGATATTTTTAGTTCGGAAAAATGCACGTTCATGTTGAAGTGCAAATAACATAGCAGAAATAAATTATTTTAATCAACGAAGTGCTTGAGTCCAACAAATCTTAACTAGCCCACATTTTCAATTGCATGGGATGATGAAATTAGGTTGCAATAGCAGTATTCGAAATGTGTTTATCAATTTGACACAGCAGAAATAGCAAGCACAGGACAAGGAGGAAAAAATCAACAATAACTCAAACTAACACTTAAAAAATGGAAGCATGCTTTTGAACTCAAAAATGCATGGCACCTCAATTGATTTAGTCAAATTGCCATCTGTAATTATGCAAGCTATCTCCAAAATTCTATCAACTTCGACATTCAAACCTGCATGGACAACAAAAGGGACAAGAAATAAAAATCTAGTGGAAAATTTAGATATGATTGCATGCTGTCAGTAAACCATATTCTCACCAGTCATTTCCAAGTCAATCCACACAAGGGGTAATCTGTACTCTTTCGCAGGTGTTGAACTTTGTTGGCTCTGTTTCTCATGTTTGCCCTGCACTACATGTTTGGCCTGCCCTACATCTACATCACCAGAGCCATTTATCTTGTCTGTACTTTTACCTGTCTCGATAAACTTATGTCATCAGAACAACAATCTTATTCAGTAACAAAGATCGTACCTTTATACATTTGCACAGGCTTTTCTTTATATCTAATTAAGGTTTAATCTTCCAAAACCTTTTTCCATCAAAAAAGCGCATCATTTTCATATATAGTATTCATACACCTTATTTCTTGATCAACTATGCCAGACTAAGTCCTAAAGCAAAACATCTGAATTAAAACATTGATACTCTTGTTGATAGTAAAGCTAATATATATTATTGCAAAAGAATCCAGTTTCCTTTTCCAGATTTTTCATCTGGTAATCAAAAACTAGCAGACAACATTGACAGAAATCCAAATTAAGTTCTTGATCCCTCGCAATGCCGGAGGGAAACTAAAACCCTAAGGCAGTAACAAACAAGATGCAGAGATTAAAGCAATATCTTCTGACCGGAGTTACTAGATGCAGAAGATGAAGAAGAGGCGGAGGCGGAGGGCAGACTATCGTCTTCGGCGTCAAGCTGCAGGACGGCGAAAGCATTTGAGAGGCTATCCATGTTTCTTCACGAGCAGTATTTTTGGTTTACTGCTTCTCTAAGAAGGTCGCTCTGCTTTTCAAAGAGGTGACTCCGCTTTCGGCCCGTATGAGTTGGATTCGAAGTCTTCGGGTCGATCTCATTTCAACCCGGGAGAAAATTCCTTTTCTTAAATTTGCTTTTTAAATAAAAAAAATAAAAAATATTGTATATAGTAAT